TTATTGGACCTTAAATAGTTGAGTCTTTATTTTTTTATTATCTTAATTTATTTATTGGACCTAAAAGTGTTTCTTATGATTATTAATCCAAAATAATTAAACTGAATACAATGTGTGGGAAAGTCACCAAATCTAAGCTTTCTATTAAAAATAATGGCCTTGCTTGACACGCTAATATTAATTGGTTGCTTAACATGTAAGAAATTAATATTGTAAATTTTTATTCTAAAAAGCTTATAAATTGAGATTTTTAAAATTAGCGTTTTGAAAATCCCGCAACCTTTAGCTATTTCAAAGTCAAATACTCCCTGAGCTTAGCTTTGTCAGACAAGCAATAAGCGAGGGGCAAGAATTTTGTTCTATCTAGTTGGTGCTTATGAACTTTAGGAGAGATAATTTAGGTCTTTGACAGTTTTTTATGGCCCTCTCAATCTTTGTCTATTGGATTGATTAGCATAGGACCTCAGCTAAATGCTGCCTCTGTTTGTTATTTGCTTTAGACCTAGCTTGTGAGGTCTCACAATTCATGCGTTGTATGCTTTGTATTAAAAAGTCCAAATATATCCCATGATTGGTCGACTATTTCCGAAGTATATACGTGCATTCTGGGCCACTTCAGGCGGGGCCGGGAATGGCCAATTTATTTCCCAGGCTCGACCACCGCTGCTTCGATACAATGGGTCGTGAGGTAAGCAACTCTATAATTTTCCTCGCCCTTGAGGAGATGAAGCCTTTGAAGGTGCCGGGCCCGGACGGTCTCCATACGATGTTTTTCCAACACAAATGGGAAACGGTGGGTCCTGCCGTGTGTGACATGATCCGTACTTTTTTAAATGGAGGTGGTCTGCCTTCAGAGTTAAATAGTACCACGCTCGTCCTCATTCCGAAGGTCGTGAATCCTATATCTATTCGGAACTTTCGGCCCATAAGTCTCCTTAACGTGGCATATAAATTAATCACGAAGATTTTGGTCAATCGCATGAAACCAGTACTACCGTTGCTCGTTGGCCAAGCTCAATCTAGCTTTGTACCCGAACGTCACATCACCGACAACATTATTGTGGCCCAGGAGTTATTACAATCTATCCGTACTAAGACGGGCCGCAAGGGTTTTATGGTTATCAAAGTCGATTTAGAGAAAGCGTATGACTACTTACGTTGGGATTTTGTGGATGAAACACTCCGTGCAGCTGGCTTCCCTATCAACTTTGTTCAGAGTGTTATGGCATGTGTCCAGTCCTCGGCTATGCAGCTAAGCTTCAATGGCACAACGAGTGAGGCTTTCTTTCCCAACCGCAGGGTACGACAAGGGGATCCGATCTCACCATATTTGTTTGTCTTATGCATTGAACGACTGGCGCACCTTATCCATAGCCACGTCGCGATAGGTGCTTGGCGTCCTATAACGGTTGGGAGAGGAGAGGTTCGAGTCCCACTTCTTATGTTTGCGGATGACCTATTGTTGTTTTTGGAAGCAACCGATGATCAAGCGCACTTGGTTACTTCGGTGCTGGAGGACTTCTGCTCCGTATCCGGCCTCCGATTCAGCTGAGCCAAAACAAACGCTTTTTTCTCCAAAAACACCCACCCGGCAGATCGACATGAACTAGCTAGGTCCATGGGGTTCTTGGTGGTGACTAATCTCGGAAAATACCTTGGGTACCGGTCCTTCACAGCAGGGTTCCCAATCACACATACGAACATGTTCTCGAAAAGGCAGATGCACAGCTAGCCGGGTGGAAGGCCAGCTCGCTTTCATTGGTCGGCCGCCTGGTCCTTACGCAATCTGTGGTTTGTTCCTTACCTTACTACACCATGCAAACAGCTTGGTTGCCAACTACGACGTGCGACGGTTTGGAAAAGCGATGCCACAACTTCTTGTGGGGCGGTAATGGTAGGAACAGGAAAGTCCACCTTGTGCCATGGGACGTGGTTTGTCAGCCTAAAGAGCTCGGCGGTTTGGGTCTCAAGCGCCAGCGTGAAATGAATATTGCCCTTCTAATGAAGTTAGAATGGGCTCTTTTGACTAAACCACATTCTCTCTGGGTACAACTTTTGGTCGCCAAATATAAACTGGTGCCTGCCTCGATGGATGCGGATTTTGTGTTCCCAAGAGGCTCTACTCTCCTCCGAGCGCTGCACAAGGTCTGGCCACTCGTGCGAAACGCAGTGCAATGGTCATTAGGGGATGGAACCACCGTTCATTTTTGGCGTGATAACTGGACACACAGCCCTCGTCCCCTTATTAATGAGACGTTGAGTCCGGTTCCCGAGCATCAACTTAACTGGCCGGTTAGTAGATACGTTGATGCCGTGGGCCAGTGGCGGTGGGACTTATTTGGACACTTGGTTCTGGCCGGCGTCTCCATGCGCATCTCAGCCTTCTTGCCACCATCACGTGAGGCCGGGCCCAACACTATGTACTGGGGGTTCTCGGAAAATGGATGTTTTACGACAAAATCGGCCTACTCATCTTTGTTTCGTGAATGCCCGACGAGTACGAGTAATCGCATCTCGTGGCGTATTATTTGGAAATGGGTCGGTCCGCAGAGGATACGTCAATTTCTTTGGCTCGTGGCGCAAGAAAAATTGCTCACTAATGTCGAGAGGCGGAGGCGGCATCTCACGGATTTCTCGACTTGTACACTATGTGGGCGAGATGACGAATCGACTATCCATTGTCTTCATGACTGTGTACGGGCAACTCAGGTATGGTAGCGCTTGCTTCCCGCCAATCAACAACCCGATTTCTTCACCTTGCCGCTGCGCGATTGGATGCTCCAGAACTTGCAAAATGGCTTGAATATTGGTGTTGCAGGCTGGGAAACTATTTTTGGAGTCACGGTGTGGCAAATCTGGAGGGGCAGAAATGAAAATATTTTCTCAGATGAGGAGTTTAATGCTGTTAAGAAAGTCCTGGATGTCCGCTCGTTTGTTCATGGAATCAAATTGGCCACCTCTGCCGAAAGACATCTGGGCGGCCTTAGAGTGGGTCATGACGTACAGTTCATTTGATGGGAGGCTCCTGCTAGTGGTGTAGTCAAAATTAACACGGATGGTTCTTTTTTGACTTCGTCTGAAATGGCGTCCGCTGGGGGGTTGGTTCGCGATGCCGACGGTCGATGGCTTGGGGGGTTTGTGATGAACATTGGGTACTGCTCTATTAGAGGAGCAGAGTTATGGGGGCTCTTCCAAGGATTATTGCTTGCTTGGGATTTGGGATGTCGTAAGGCCATTGTGGAAGTGGACAATAAAAGTGAGGTGGTAATGGCGGCCGGGGGACTAACGGACAACCTTGGAGTACATGGTAGCTTGGTTCGTGCCATAAGAGATTTGCTCCACCGAGACTGGGATGTGAAGGTGATTCATTGTTATAGAGAAACGAACTTTGCGGCTGATTGTTTGGCGATGCTGGCTCATCATTGTCCTGGTGGATACCAACGGTTATTTGACCCACCGTCAGTAGTTCAACCGTGGTTACAGCACGATTTTGTTGGCGTGGCGTATCCACGGAACATAACTAGCTGATGGTACTTAGGCTTTAGCCTCCTTTTGTGTACCAAAAAATAATAAATTATATCTTTAGTTTTGTTGTTATGAGCATCCTATCGTTTAAGGGGAAAAAAATTAGCATTTTGAATTCTAAAAGTTTTCTCAAACCGCTTCTAGCCAAACAATAAACATAGGGGCTATGGTGGGTCAAACTTTTTAATTTACCCTCATCAAGCCTCTAATCTTGCCCCAGTAAAAAGAAAATCAATATTTATAAATAAAGCTAAAAATTAATTATATCACTAGTATTCGACCTGTGCATTTGCACAGATATAAATAAATTATTGTGAGTCAGTATGATATAATGATTAATTATTTTTCTTTCACTTTTTTGCAGACCAAATTTACAATTAAAAGAGTTGGAATATTTTTTTTTTAAATTGCGTTTATCTGCTTGGATGTAATGCATATTTTGGTACGTCTTTTATTTGTGAATTATTTATTATTTGTTTAGGAATTTCAAATATATTTTTTATTTTATAAAAAAAAAAATTAAATGTAACAACAATAATAACATCTAATCACATTATACGGTCAACACATTATATGGTCAACTGTCATTAATCAAAAGTTTAAAATGATTTTTGTAATTTTGAAGTGATGAGTATTATTTATTTAATGATTAAATGAAAGATTAAATACATCAAAATGTAACGGTTTTTGGAGGGAAAATTGTTAAATTGCCACATAGGTAAAATTAAATAGGTTTTATTAAATGATATTAGCTAGTAATTATATATATATATATAGATAACAGAAGGAATATGGTGATTAAGTCATAAGACCAATTGATTAATAATAGGACGAAAATTCTAACTCACATCGTTCACTTTCTCCAAGTCGTTACTCTGATTTTATTTACCTCGCATTGAGAATATTTTGGTGTTTGCCAACAGTTCAATAGCTAAATGTGTAACTNATGCAATCGATTGTGTTAGTCAATTAATCTAATATGTAATAAGCACGCAATTTGTGGGTTTTAATTGTTCAACATGGCATATTAAGCAAAACAGATATCTTGTATAGTTGACCTAATCTCGTTGTCAAATTAAGCAGAGTTTTGCACGTTTTTCGCAAAACTAATTCGAAACCATAAAGGATCTTCCCAAATTCACTACTACTACGTTTTCAGATTGATGATGGTTTTCAATATCTATCGATTGTCATATTATGTCATTTTTGGTCCTTAAGTATTTGAAATGAACTCAAGTGACCCCATGTGCTTATCACGTGGCAATTAGAGCCACAACAGATTTCTTTTCAACTCTGTTAATTAAGCTTACTCCAAGATGGTCATGCAAATACTCTTGTTCTGTCAATTATTGAGAGTGGGTTCAAGTAGACAGTATATACCATAGCTGTAAAAGGGGGAAAAAATGTTAAAATATTGCCTATTTAAACCGCCTCATTGCCTATAAATGTGTACTCCACACTCTGAAAGAAGCAATGAAAACCAAACAAACAAAGTCATTAGAATAATGCAAGTGTTGTCTGCCACTAAAAATTCACCTAATCTTGGTTTACAATAACTTTTGTATATACCAACAAGTCCAAAAAAAGCGAAAAAAGTTGAAAAAAAAAAAAAAAATGTCCGAGAAAAGTGATGTTCAAAAGAAGCACTTTGTGCTGGTACACGGGTTCGGGCTCGGGGCCTGGTGCTGGTTCAAACTCGTGAGCCTTCTGAAGAAGGACGGGCGCCACAGTGTCACTGCCCTCGACCTCGCGGCCTGTGGGGTCCACCCGATCCAGCACCACCAAATCTCGTCCTTCTCCGACTATGTCCAACCCCTCATCGATTTCCTGTCCGCTCTTCCAAACAACGAGAGGGCCGTCCTCGTGGGCCATAGCTACGGAGGCATCCCAATTTCGATTGCCGCCGAAAATTTCCCGGAAAAAATATCGTTGGCCGTTTTCGTCACGTCTTACATGCCTAACTGTACCGAACCGATTTCAATTCTCATTAAGGAGGTATGAACCTTTTTTTTTTCTTTTTTCTTTTTTTTTTGTTTACTTAAAAATTATATATGTATTTTGATCAAGTTGTTTAAACATGGGAAAAGTTCTTCAAGAGGAACTCGAACAAGCCTTTTATGGATTGCGAGTTCACGTTCGACTCGGAATCTGGAGACGTGCCAACTCGGGGTAGGCTCGGCCACGATTACATGGCGGCCAAGGTTTACAACCACTGCCAATTAGAGGTTCATTCGGAATTTAATAGTATCCATTTAATTATATTTGTTCTTATTTCGCAAATTAAATATGTACAAGATGGTCCTTAATTTAACTTTTATTATTTTCTTTTTAGGATCTGGAATTAGGAAAATTGCTGGTGAGGCCTAGTTTGTTTTACGTGAAGGATTTGAGCAAGCCGGGTATGCTGTCCCAAGAGAGATATGGGAAAGTGAAACGTTGCTATGTAATTTGCGGAGATGATGACGTCGGGGACGAGGAATTTCAGGCGTATAACATAGAGAAGAGCCCACCAGATGACGTCATGACCATTGCTGGGGCTGGTCATATGGTCATGCTTACAAAACCACAGGAGCTGTGTCTTTGCTTGCTGGAGTTAGCTGAGAAGTATGATTAGTGTGTAATTTGGAAACTTTCTTATTGCATAAATAATAAAAAATAGTGTTTTTAGTTCATGGTTAGTTGCATATTTTTGGTTTGTTTCTTATCACTCTAGCTATTAAGTTTCTTTATTCCCCCCTTTTTAAGGTTTTCTTTTTGTACTTTTTGGAAGCTTTTATATCAACCTGTTAATTTATCATCTATTAATCTTATGCATTTTTCTCTTTCATATTCCTTCAAGGATGGATGCCAATTTCATTTCATGTCATATCATCAAAAATTTTATGGTGCTCATTCGGGTACCATAAGCCATGCTACAATATGATGTGCTATATAAAGTGACTTTTTTATATTTAATTAATAATTCCACATAAATGAAGTGGCCTTTTTAAAGATTTTCCATACCAAAATTAATTAACAAACCGTGATTCCCAAAAATCTATTTATAAGTCGTTTTCCCCAATTTCATCTGCAACTCACGACCTCGCACACCGACCTCACTCATTGCCGCGGCTGCTTTTCCGGCAAATTGCTGCTCGCGGCTGCGGTCTGCGAAGGGGGAGGGAGCTCGAGCAGTTGGGGAAAGGGAGAATTTCGCTGCGTAGGCTGCCGGCGAAGCTTCTGGATCCGTTGGTCCTTGGTGAGATTGGCAAGCGGCGGCGGGATGGGGCCACGGAGGTTGTTGGTTGATAGGTCGAGGCGGAGGAGGGCGGAGATTTACGACGGGATCTGGCCAGAGAAGTCGTTGCCGGAGAGGTAGACGAGCTTGACTGCTTGAGGTTGAGGCAGCAGGCGAGGGGGGAGAGGGTGCCATTGAGGCGGTTGCCGCGGAGGTCAAGGAGGTGGCCATCCCGTAGCTTAACCTTTATTTTTTGAGCTCTGTCTTTGCTTTATTCTCTCATTTATCATATATCCGTCTTTGGGTCTGTACATCCGCTAGCTAGAGATTGTTTATACATACTGATTTTTTTCCATTGTTTTGGATGTCAAGAATTTGCATAAGGTAGGGTTAGTAGTTGGTAGATTAAAAATAACATCTTGGTTCCATTTCATTTCGATTTCTTTACTGATTTTATGTCGGCGTGTAAGAACTAGGAAGAAACTCCATCAGAGTAGTACTATGCTGCAGTTGTTTGTTGTTCTTTCTACCCTTCTAATTTCGCGATAGAATTCTTTATTGTTTTCAAACTCATTTAATTACTAGTTTTTAATTTAATGATGATGGGAGAGTCCCGTTGTTTTCTATCCCGCATAGAGCAATAGCAGAAAACCCATATACCAGTGTGCAAGGATTTTTAGTTTGATTCTCGAGATTTTATTGGTACGAAAGTTCTGTTGTTATGGAATCATCAAGTATATGATTTTGGGAACAATCCTATTATGAGGGGTTTCTTAATTGTCTTAATTAATTAAATCTTTAAAAATGCCATATCATATATGCCATGGAATTATTAATTAAAAACAAAAAAACTACTTCATATGCCACATCATATTGTAGCATGACTTATGGTATCCTAATGGGCACCATAGAATTTCTGGTCATATATATTCATATACAGTTATTTTCGTGATGTTTTAAGATATTTTTTTAGTAGACATACATATTTTTGTACTATAATTTCTTACATTAAAAAAATAAGTAGAAGTTATAAATTATGTTATTTATGTAAAAAAAAAAGAAAAAAGAAAAAACTGGAGTCTTATTTATGACTTATGACTTATGAGCACCTTTTATTGGCAAAAATATTTTCCTACTTTGTTTCCCAACTCTAGTCGATCGGGACCTCTCTATATTCTACAAGGAACCGATAATATAATCTTTTTGTTCGACACGACGAATTATACTATCTACAATGTAAAATAAAGGAGTTATGATTTCATAAATAAATAAACTGCAAACATAAATATTTTGACTTTATCACGCTTGTCAGATCAAAATGGATTGCTAGAATATGCCAAAACAAGATTTTACAGCATACCTTTAACACTACCATATATAATTTTACTGCCATTAACCCATCCTTCTCCTTTCTTTTACTGTTCAAATAATGCACACACTCATTTGCCTACACCACATTATCAATTATTTGCCTACCAGGCACAAAAGTTGTCTGGTTTTGAGAAGTACAATCATCAAGAACAAGCTTAATCCTATTTGCCAGAATATTTGAAATCAGTCTATAGGTTACATTACACAAACTGATTGGCCTGTAATCTGTGACATTTTGAGGATTTTTAATCTTTGGAATCAAAGTTATGATGGTGTGATTTAACTTGCTTGGCATTTTATTCTGATTAATTAACAATTATTCTGATTGCAACCCCTATCTCATGTTGAACAAGACTCTAGTTTGACTGAAAAAAAAAGTGGTAAAACCATCCATATCTAGGCAAATTTAGTGTGTTTCGATTGTTTCAAGTGGCAACTTTTTAATTGTTAGGTGGAAAAAATGAGTAACTATTAACCAAGATGCACATATATATATATACATCACCCTCAACAAAATTGTTTCTCTTAATCAACCTTTCAATGGAACTTTTAAAAGCTGTATTGACGATCGAAATCGGTCAACGGTTAAACTATGAATCAAGGGTGATAAATACGAATAAAATAAAAAATTGGTGAAGGAAATAAGCTTTATTGCTTCTTTAGTGAGGTCGGCCTCCGATAAGTAGGCCAGATTCTTGGTCACAGTTGGCTAATTACAGAAGTTTGTTACAGAGAGTTGAGAGTTAATGTAGAGAGAGAAAGTTACCAGATTGATCAAGAACCCTTAATAAATGAGAGTGGCTTCCTATTTATACTATTATAGACCGGGTACTGTTCAAGTACTGTTCATCCCGTCATTTCGTACAATGATTTGGAATGACAGATGTCAGACGCCGTTTTGACGAGCATTAAATGAGATTTGAGGTTTAAGCAAATGATTACATGTCAGACATTAAATGCAGACGTAGGATGCATTTAATACTGACAAGTCGTCCTGTAATCCTATGTTTAATAGGGTCACAGACTAGGGTAGCGCATCCCATCAACAATCATCACTTGACACGTGGCAATATTTTATTGCTTCTAGGTTCTGAATGCGTGCTGGGGTACGACCTCGTGGCTCCTTCAGGTTGGACTTTCTCCGTAACTTGAGCTATCTTCAACTTCTGATCCTCGGGGTGTTTTTGAGTCATGCATTTGTGACGGTCGACCTCGTCCCTTAGCTTTCGAGGAGTTGACCTTAGAATTCGTTCTACATACTATTCCTAGAATCTTCGCTCTTTGTTCAGACCGGATTTTCCATCCCTAGGCTGCCGACCTGATTCTGGGCCGTCATCGTCCGAATAACTGAATTTCACTCACTTCGGGGGATAACCTTGTCAGATGCCGTGCTAACATTTTTTTGGTCCGTGGGTCTCTCATGGTTCAATTCGGATATCAACAAGCTGGTTAAGCTAAATAGCTACAATTAATTAATGGTGGAGAAAATTATCATATTTTTCTCATCAACTCCCATTCTAGTTCAAACTTCTTGAAGAGAATGAGTTTATAGATTGACTTTTTCTTCTTTTTCCCTTTTGGATAAAATTGAGGACTACACCTTTCTAATTTTGAATAGTCAAAATAACTGATTCCAGAAATTGTTGAGTGGGGCTGCACTCAGAAAATCCTTTCTAAGATGGGGTTTCACATGCTCGTTCTTAAATGGATCATTTGCTTGTGTATCATCTGTTTCCTATTCTTTCAACATTAATGGTACTGTGCAAGGATATATTACTGCCTCTAGAGGTATTAGGCAGGGGGATCCCTTATCCCCCTACCTATTCATTTTTGTTTCTGAAATTTTCTCTAAACTGCTGTCTGCTGAAGAAAGGAGAGGTAATTTTAAAGGCCTCAAAATTTCCAAAAACGGTCCCTCATTATCTCATCTTCTTTTTGCGGATGATGCTCTCATTATGTGTGTTGCTGATGGCCACCATGCTACTTTGCTATTTCATTTGCTTGGCAAGTACAGAAATTTTACAGGTAAGAAGGTCAATCTGAGCAAATCCTCCATTTTTTCAGTAAGAATTGCTCTCCTCTCCTCGAGGCTACCATTTGTAATCAGTTGATGGGTATTCAGATGCAGAACTCTACCAGATACCTAGGGCTCCCATTGGGTATAGGAAAATCCAAAAAAGATGCTTTTGACTATGTCATCAAGGCTGTGAAATATAGACTGATAAATTGGAAGAATAACTTTCTCTCTACAGCAGGCAAGGAAGTGCTTATTAAAAGCAGTGTTAGATTCCATGCGGTCTTCTCTATGTCCTGCTTTTGCTTGCCTAAATCAGTTTGTAGATTGATTGCTGGTTTGTGTTCTACTCTCTGGTGGAGCAAAGGGAAAGACCAAACTGCTGAGCTGCCCTAAAAATCATAGAAATTTGTCACCATCCCTAAATAATTTGAAGGTTTAGGTTTCAAACACCTAATGCTATTCAATGACTCTTTCATCTTTAAACAGATTTGGAGAATCCTCATCAAGCCTAATCTCCTTGTCAGCAAAGTTCTAAAGGCCTGGTATTTTCCAAACTCTTCAATTATTCATACCCAAAAACCATCTACCTCTTCTTGGATGTGGTCCAATTGGTTAGCTGTCAGAAATAGATACAAACACTGTTTCAAAATAGAAATTAAAGATGGGGTCTCTAGCAAAATATGGAAGGATCCTTGGGTACCCTCACTCCCATCTGGAGTTCCTTCTCTTAAACCTGGGGCCTGTTGTGATTTAGTTGGGGTTCACCAACTGCTTGAACCTAGGAGCAGAAGATGGAATTATGATCTTTTGATTACTTTATTTGATGAACAGGTTCTGAGATCTATTCTGGATATAAAAGCCCTTGATCCCTTAGTCAAAGACAGATGGAAATAGAGACCAGACTCTAAAGGAGAATTCACAGTTGCTGGCACTTATTCATATCTGATTCAGCAAAAAGTCTTATCTTTTGATATTGCAGAAGGAAGTCTCTCTTCAGGCTGTTTGTAGTATTTTTGGGCATGTGGTAACCGAGCTACTCGACTCGGGTCGTTCTCAAAGGAAGGCTATTCGGAGCTTCGTCACTACTTAGTCGTCAAAGTCACATGACCAAAAACAAGGTCCTACACATTCTACTCGCTTGATGGGATTTGATTGCACGAAATTGAACTAAGAATCTAAGAGCAAATAATGAAAAATGCAACGAA